TTTTTTAGATTTAAATATAAATGTTTTTGTAGAATCTGGTTCATCAGATTTAATTCAGGTCAGTTTATTTATACAGCGCCAAGTCACAACAGAAGTCGTGTCAGGGCACTGAACAGAAATATTCATATATAAAATATGTTAACAGAAACATTCATATATAAAAATAATAATTTAATATTATTTATCTGAGGAGCAGACTGCTTTGAGTAACTCATTGCAGAACTCATTAGCAGGACTTGGATTCTGGACACGCCTCCAGAATCGGTCCTAAAGTGCAGGTGCAAATCCAGGCTGAGCTGAACCAGGCTGTGCAGGGCTGAGCAGAGTTGGGGCTTATTAGGGGCAGTGCAAAAGGGGCATTAGAGTACAATACAATACAGTGCTGTAGTTGTGGTTTGTGCCAATTTAAAAAAACAGCAGAAAAATGGTATCAGAACTTGCAATGGTGACAGTCGATTTGCTGATGTGTTTCATGCAAGTTGTTTGGTTCTTGCTGTTTCCAAAGCCAATTACTCAGGGAGAGAAATTTGACTCAGTGGCCGAGTTGGTTTCGAACAGACAAATATAAACGAGAATACTTACAACTGTTCGAAACATTTCTTTGGAGGGAATGGGCCGACGGAGTAGCACACTGTTCCCATACCTGTGACTGTGTTCCCTAAACAGGTATGTCCATAAATCCATTATAACCGCTTTGCCATTGATAAGTGGGACTTCACTCTGCTCTCATTTCATCAGTTCTTCTCAGTTGTAGGCGGTGGTGGAGTCTACAAGATACGGGGGTATATGGTGTATACCCACTAGAAAAGCTTGAGAATTTCAGTATACCTACTTAAAAGTGCCCAATGATACATAACATATCATGAGGCATGTGCCATTGAAACGTTAAATGGCAGGTAAATGACTCCATAACAATCTATCGGTTTGCAGCGCTTGCTTATTACATTCGCTTATCCAGCGAATTATTATGCAATTAATACTTCTGTACTTGCTACTTAATACTTTAACATATTTTGCTTTGATACTGTTATAAATTATATAACATGTTTTTAATACAAAGACAACTGTTCTACAAAGTTTGTTGTTCATTTATTCAAATTTAAGCATCAGAGAAATTTCAAAATATTCAATATGCTTAAAAATCAAAATAAATTGATGATTACATTGTACTAACCAGTGTATTTTTGTTTATAAGCACAGTATACCCACCACAAAAATGCAGACTACACCACTGGGTGTAGGTGATTTGCCACTGTGATCTGTTTCCCCATTCTGTGAAGTGGGTTCAGTGGGTGGTATTGTAACAGGTCATCGTGTCTGAGCCACTCCGCCTGTCGCAGGCCTTAATCGCACTATAACTGATTTCAGTTTCTTTAGCCTATCCTAGCACTGCTTATAAGTCTGGGTGTAGGGAAGCTGTGCCACCATGTCTTATTATCTCTGTAAATGTGCAGTCCGTCAACACGACCAGAGAGGACGTGGCGGTTCAGATGTAGTTTGCAGTTTTGCTGGGCAGGTCACAGTTCTTAACCCAGTTTTAGTAGTTTCTACAATCTCCTTAGATGTTCTGCTTGATCCCAATGATTTAACCCTTCTCAAACAGACTGACATATTTTCCACAACAATGCGATGTGTCTTTCTTTCCACAAGGTTGTTTTTAAGAAATGAGAAGCAACTTATTGCACCAGTTGGTGTCAAATAACTTGTTGCCAGCTGAAAGATAATTGTCCACGCAGTAATTATCCAATAGGAGGCTCGTACCTATTTGCTTGGTTAAATCCAGGTGACAACTTTTTTTGGCCAGGCAGTGTATGTGTACACATGTAGCATCTATATTAACTTCTGTAAACACAACATGCTGTGTGTGACATCATATCTTCTTTGGTGCATGCAGGTTACTTCAGGGCCTTATAGAATTTGCAATGGAGTCTGATGGAGGCCACATTTAAATTATAATATGAACGATCACACAAAATCCGATCCAAGCAACAACAACAACAAAAAAAAAAAAATCTAATTTGAGCATTCAGACATGCAATGTGAACAAAGCCTAAGATTAGGACAAAGGAAGATTAAAACAATATATATACGTTGACCTTTTTTTATATGTATCCATTTTTTCCCCAGGTGAGAAATCACTCTCCCACTGTAAACAAACCTGTGCAATATTGGCACCTATTGGACTTGAGTGTGAAACTAGAGACCCACAAGTCCAAGTCTGTCGTAGAGTTACATACAATCATGTGAGTCTCAGTAACTGTGCTCACAAACGCTGTAACCATAATGAAGTTTTTACAGAAATGAATAAAACAAAAATGGCAAAATTTAGAATTTAAATAAGGTTTTAGAAAACTAATGCTCTTCCATTAATGTGTGTGGTATACACACATAGTGGGGTCTGGCTGAGCACTAAAATTTTTGTTCATGACCTAGTTTTTGACATTAAGCTTTTATTAGATAGGAACTGAGAATATGCACAAAGGAAATAATGAGCAGAGAGAAAGAAGCATGAAGACATGAGAATTTGTAGTCTAGAGCAGAACTGGGAACCTTAGGGTTTTTTGTTTTTTTTTGCATCAAGTTAACTGGTTATCAAGAACATATGGAGGGCTCTGAACGTTGGTCTCTGTTGTCTTTTCAGAGTGTAAAACTCTGTCAGACTCAAACATTTTACTCATCAGGTTTACGATGAAGAATTACCATTGTGTTGCTGCTCGCTGCTTAGCTGCTCTGCATTACAAATTATTACACAGGAAATCATTTGGAAGTGACGCACCAAATAAACAGGTAACATTTTTTTTTTTTTTCCATATATGGTGTAAGAAATGCATGCAACCAGAACCAGCAGATGACATTACTGAATAAAGACCAGGCCTGTTTAGATTAGTTTGAACTGCAGATAAAAAATTTTTTTAATGAACATTTGCACCACTGCCTTTTATCGAGTTTAATCGGTTCTTCTCATCCTGAGCATTTCATTGTACTGTTAACCCTGTGTTAACCTGCATATGACAAACACAACTTGAACTTGTAGTGGTGGCTCGGAGGTTAGAGAAGGTGGACCTGTGATCGGAAAATCGCCGGTTCAACTCCCAGTACCAATAGCATCAAATGTGGGTGGAAAGGTGAAGCCCCCACACCCTCATTTGCCCCACTCTGGGCCCTTGAGCAAGGCCCTTAACTCCGATCATCTGCTCCCCTGGGCACCCTAGATGGCAGCGCTCTGCTTCACACAGAGGTAGCTCAGTGGTCTGTGATTGCATCAGGAAGGACATCCGACGTAAAAACAATTGCTAAGTCTTCGAGCGTCTTAGTTTGCTGTGGCGACCTGTGAAGAAGGGAACAGCCGAAAGAAAAACAAAAGTTTCTGCGAGGTATAAAATGTCCTAAAAAGTCTTCATTTTTAATAATCTCAATTAATTTGTTTTGTGTTTTATTTCTGTCGGAGGATTGTAGATGCTATGATTGTATAACAAAATACAAGTCCCATTATGTAGCTGCTTTGTTGAGAATATTTTACTTAAATTCAGTTTCCTTGCAAAAAAACAAAAACAAAACAAAAAAATCTGGTTGCTTTCCTGAAACTGATTTGTTGTATATGTTGAATGATTTGGAAACCGCTTCACTAGAAGGCAGTACAATTTATTGCTTTGAAAGATAATTTCACACAGACTGAAGAATTATTTTGGAGAAAAGATGAAATGTTTCAACAAAGAACGATCCATCCACAGGACCTCACTCAAACTTGTTAGATAATTTTGCACACTTATTTTTTGTACTTCATTTGAATAAATAGTCTTTAAAAGCTCGTAAAGTCTCACATTCACCTGCCTGGAATATGTAGAAATTATGTGTGTAGATTATGACTGTCCATTTGCACTAAATATTTGAGATTACACTAATAAGCGTACATTTGTCTTGGTGATCTTCAATCTCTGAGCACATCTGAAAACACACATCAGTTGTAGTATGCGTCACCTTCACATAATAAATTCATTTCTTTTCAATATTGCTCTTAATTACGAGTAAAGCCCATTAGATTAGGAAAATGTGAAAATTGATTATTTTCCAGTCTCACAGTTATTAAATGTCAAACAGCTGGAAAGTCTGTCTAAACATCTGTTCATTTTTAAGAACTCACAGTTGGTATTTACTTTTGTTTATACCATCCCTGGCTCTCTAAGCAAGCAAATTTATCTGGCTTATCATGGATTCTCGTGAGCTTGATGTTTTCTTTTCTTTACTTTTTTTTGAGAGGGGTGTCTTTAAACCAGCTTCTATATTTCTAAGATGGAATTACTTCTCCGTGTATTAACCTACTGTTAAGTAGATTACACCCAAATGTCCAACAGCTAAAGTATGGAGGGCTTAGGTTACAGTAATGATCTGACAGAGGCAATATATTGACTGCTAACTTATTTTTACATAAAAAAAAAACCTAACATAAGAACAAAAAGTATCAGAGTTGGGGTTGCTGGAGTAGAGCTTTTTATTATCATGCAAAGTGTAACATTCATACTGTCAAAGTTGCACAGAGAGAAATGCAGTGACTGTTTGTATGGATTTGATTTCACAGCGTGGTTGAAGTCAAAAATGATTTTTATTCAGCTTTTATTTGCTAGAACCAACTTGTTGCTGCCAGTATTAAACTGCATACTTTTTGTACTTTTCCCCCTGAAAAAAAAAAAAAGAAGCTGTTTTAAATTCTGCTTTCAAACTGTCTCATATTGGACTGACACGAGTCTGCTCCATTATTACCATAATTTCCGGTCTATAAGCCGCTACTTTTTTCACATGTTTGAAACTCACAGCTTATACGATGCTGCGGCTAATTTATGGATTTTTTTTTAATGGGCTAACAAGCTTCTTACCAACAAAACATTTACCAGTAGTCTCGTCACTCCTGGGTGCTCACATAGCTGTCCAATACACATCTCTCTTGGGAGGTGGATCCTCGTGACTCAGCGAGACGACCTGTATAAATAAAGGTTAAAAAAAATCTAACCAATGAAATTACCGAACAGGTCACAGTGGACCAATGAAAGGGGACTTTAGTGGTTTTAGTGCACAGGAGGAAGATGAACACAGCGAACAGTGACTTTTCCTGGCAAACTACTGTATTATTATTATTATTATTATTATTATTATTATTATTATTATTATTATTTTAACCAGCCGTGTTAAAGGCATTGTTTAGAAAAGAACATTTACTCTATGCATTTGTGTATGTTAAAAAGTACATATTTAATTTAAAGTAAAAAAAAATATTTCTGTGTAAATAGCTCATGTTACAACATGAACACCAGTGGCTTATATATTTACGAATTATTTTTTTAATTTAACGTGCGCTGCTTATATTGGGGTGCGCTGTATAGTCCGGGAATTACGGTACTTGTGTTGTGTGACTGAAGAAGCCAAAACCTTTTTTTAATCCTATATAGGGCACATGAACTTATCCAGTCCATGCTCAAATCAGTCAGTCTCCAAACTAAATCTAAAAAATGTTTTTCAACTTTTAAAATAATATATAATGTGTTGTTATTGATTTGTACACACACACATTATGACATACATTTCAGCATAAATTGTTAATTTCTGATCAGAGGAAAGGACGGCCACATCTGTGATGGTGACTCACTGTTAACATGCAGTTGCAAGTGTTGCGTGGTATTTTTTTTAAACCAGTAAAATGTTGCTGTGCTCAGTCAGGGGTCAAGAGAATGAACTTTAAAATCCCATCGTTCTTATCTCACTACTCGGGCTTTCCTGCTTTCTCCTCATGTTCCAGACTCTCCTGTGGTTTGTTAACTCGCTGATGAACCCTGAGATTGTAAACTTACTGCTCTTTGTGTCTTTGTCCTCAGAAAGAATCAACCCCTGGAGTAGAAAGAATAAAGAAAGAAAAACAGAACTGTAAGTAAACATTGTTTGCAGGAACATATTGGGATTCAGGAAGTTTTGTTTGTGCGTGAAGGTTGCAATCATCGAAGTACTTATCAGTTGTTATTAGGCCTAAGTGTTGCGGTGGTTCAGTGGTCATTTTGCCTCCCCAGTTTTGATCCACTTTTAAAATCAATGCCAAGCTTTGAAGCTGCTCTGGATCCAAGTTCTTTCTTAAAACTTCACAAAAAGATTTTCGGTTGTTGAGCTGAATACAGCACCTCAGACTGAGGAAGTCTTTCGGATGAAAGACGAAACGTATCTACGTTTTTTTTCTTTGTTTTGTTTTTTTTTGAATGTCCAGAGGACCAGATAGAACTTTTTTGGCTTTTCGGTTGTCTTTTTTTATTTTTTAGTTTCTCATCAATCTTTTTTTTTTTTTTACAGTATGCAGAAAATTGTAAAATCAATTAACATTTCAACATACAGTTCATTACAGCAGGTTAAAGGTGCACAAAGTGCTCCGTAATACTAAAGTTAAAAACAAAACGATAAAAAAATAACAGTGCTAATAAGTATTAAAAGCCTGCCTTTGGAAATCTGCATGTCTTCAGAACAAAAGAAAACAAACAAAAAAGGAAACTGAGAGAATGATTTTATTTTTTTAATAGTTTCCAAAAGTATTCGATTGAAAAAAACAAAACTATAGCTACAAAATAAATTAAAAGACAAAACTATGCAAACTTTGATTGCTGTTTTATTAAATGGGATAAAAGAGATTAGAACGTTATTAGGGGGAGTGGTGGCGCTGAGGTTAGAGAATGCGAGCCTGTGATTGGAAGGTCGTCCGTTCGACTCCCCGGACCAACAACATTAAAGTGTTGGTGGGAAAGGTGAGGTACCCACACCTGCCTCCACCCTCATCGGCCCCTAACCCCCACCATCTGCTCCACCGGGTACCCTAGACAGCAGCTCTCTGCTCCACACAGAGGGCTGTGGTAGCTCGGTGGTCTGTGGCTGTGGCAGGAAGAACATCCGGCGTAAATATAATTGCCAAGTCTTCTGCGAGTTAGTTTGCTGTGGTGACCCCTGAAGAAGGGAGCAGCTGAAAGAAAGAAAGAAAGAAAGAAAGTTATTCCTGCCGTGCACATACAGAAGACCACAACTTGTGTTTTATTGTTGGTCTCGCAGGCAGGATGCAAATCTTTTTAAAAAGTTTTCAAAGAAGAAGTTACTGGAGTTGTAATGAACAAACCAAATGAGGCGTCCTATAATTCATTTGACTTTTGTTAGGAAAAAATTGTGAATGAACTTGTCCAAAATTTAAAGAAAAATTAAATTATCTGCTTGAACTTATTAGTTTACATACAAGGAAACAACTTTTAACTGTAGCCCTAGTCGCATGGGATTAGTTTTACCCAGGGAACACATGCTATTTGTAATAATTACAGATTGTCTGTGTTGCTAATCCTGCGAATCGGCCATTTCAGTAATTTGTAAATTAAAAATTCCCCTGCAAATTACCTACTATATTTTGCTGAACTCCGAGGTCCTGTGATAATACTAATCCAATGTGAGTAAGCATCACCGGGATTTGGACATAAATGGGTGGGATCTGATATGTAATGAGGCGTTTTTTGTTGTTGTTTAAGCAAAATCATTTGAAAAATATGGAACAAGGCTATTGCTGATTCGTAAAACCACATCAAAGCCTGAGACTGACCCAGCCCGCACATGGACCGGCCTGGTCGTGACTACGCAGCGCGTTAACATTATATCCGGAAGATGTCTGTAAATTTCAGCTAAATCTCAGGCTTTGGTTATCCCGTGCGAACGTGCCACATAAAAAGCAGACGTTGGGGAATTAATTTATTTATTACATGTGATCCCTAGGTAAAATTAATCCCGTGTGAATATGGCTTTAGATGCACAAATTATTTTTGTTAAAGCACATTAAAGCAAATTAAAGTTTGATTAGTGAATATACATTATTATGAGGAAATAATTGTGAAGCAGACTGAATGCACTGAATTTGGTGTGTTCTGTATACTTTTTTCAAAACTGTTGGGGCGACTTGCCCAAGTGTGCAGTATAAGTCATGAATAATAGATTCTAGGCCTGCGCTGGTGAATTAAAGGTAAAGTGATAGTGTGTGGCCTTACCTTCTCTGGCTTGCTGCTGCATTTTTAAAAATGTGGATTGACACTCGGATGTCAAAATGTTAGCCTTGTTTTCTCCCAAAAACTCTTTAGTCTGGGGTCAGGGTCTGGAAAGAGGTACATTTGATACAGTTTGAATAATGCAAGATGCTGGTTTGGGTTTTAATTTTCATCAAAGTGCAACTTCCTTGTTTCTAAGTGGCATCATCATGTCATGCTCCAAGACATGGAGGTCTGATAAGACGGCTATTTATAGAGAATAAGTAGATACTGTTTGTTGTCTTTTAGTGGACACAAAGCAGCAAGAAGAACAATATTGAGTGATTTCCTAGTTGTTTGTGCAATTATTTATGTAGCTATCTACAAAATCTCACTTTTTATGTGATGCTAAAACGTTTCTTTTACAAAATGAGCGTTAAATTTGTGTGCATGTTTATGAAGCATTCTCGCTACAGTATTGTGATCCATTTTTCTTCCATACATTTTTCAGCATCTTTCTCAATCCACATTTTTTTGTGCTATTTCAACAAATTGTATATCAAAATGTTCAGCTCATTCAGGATAAGGGTGCTATCACTTTTCGTAACTTTGTTAACTTTAGCTTATTGAAATATTTGGCATTTTCTGCCTTTTTTTTTCATAGAAAATGAGGAGCTCATTTTACATCCTTCAAATCTTTAGATCTGTTTACAACTTTACTGTTCACATTTTGTTCTGCTTCAGCTTCTTTCGTCTCCCGTGTGCAAATTTAAACTTTTTTCAGCTACTTTCAGCTACGTTCAGCTGTTTTTCAGCTGTTTTATGATCCTTTCAGCTTCTTCCTGCTAACTACAGCATATTTGTGCTTCTTCTAACTTCTTTCTAATTCTTTCTAATTTCAGCTTGTTTTGCTACTTTCAGCTAATTTCTTAAAGTTTCAGTTTTTTTGCTTTGCTATTTCAGCTAGTATTTAGCTGTTTATGCTAATTTTAGTTTTTTCAGCTAATTCCACATTTTTTGCACTTATTTCAACTTTTTTCAGCCTAATTCAGCAAAAATGCTCTCTCCACTTCCTTCTGGTGATTTAAGCTTCTTTCTTCTTTTTTATCTACCTTTCAGCTGTTTTTTTTGTGCTCGTTTCTGCTTCTTTCAGCCTAACTGGGCAAATGTGTTTTTCTGCTTTCTTCTGCTAAGTTAAGCTTGTTCTACCTTTCCAGCTAACTTTTTAGCATTTTTTAGCTAATTTAACAGTTTTCACATTAATTCACATTTTTCGTGATAATTTCTGCTACTTACAGCCTAATTAAATTTTTACACTGTGCGTAATTACTCACACAGAAGGTTGAGTGATGAAATGTTTTTTTGTGCAAGCAGGTGCTTCATGTTGTGTCTGAGTGGACCCAGTGAGGCATAGACTACATCCTGCTTCGCCTTTAACCCACTACCGATAGCCTTAAAGGATGAAGCCTATACAAAATAGAACGTTGGTTACGTACTGTAACCCCAGATTCTATGAGTATAGGCGCAGCCCTTTAAGCTCTGGGCTTCACTGGTTCGTAAATGGCTGAAGAAAAAAGCTATTTGGGAGCCGATTACCCGGTCTTACCTTAATTTATACGGACCGGGGATGAGGCACACACAGTAGGTGGGCGTGGACTAAAGTTTTCAGTGCAGTACTGCGCGTGAAGGGATAAACCCACTAGCGACAGCCTTAAAGGGCTGCGCCTACACTCATGGAATCTGGGGTTACAGTACGTAACCAACATTTTTTCCCCCCTCATACTGATGAAGACAAAGGTGGATGTCATTTTTGTCTTAGATATAGTACAGGGAGAAAACATGGACAAAGATAAGGAGTCGTTTTCTGTAGCTGATGAAAAGCCATGTATTAACAATTATTATTTTCATTCCACCTTTATTATATTTTTTAGACTATAAGGCATGCTTAAAATCCTTAAATTTTCTCAAAAATCGACAGTGAGCCTTATAATCCAGTGCGCCTTCTGTATTAATTCTGGTTGGGCTTACTGACCTCGAACCGATTTTTTGTGGTTATTATGAATGAGTTGAACAAAGTTTGACTTATCTGTTTTGTTTCACTTAATGCGGCTTATAATCTGGTGCGGCTTATATATGAAAACAGACCTGGTTATTGATATTGTACCTTATAATCTGGTATGCCCTATAGTCCAAAAAATACGGTAGTCTCATTGAGCCTCGGGGACTTGTTTACAAGAGAGACCTTTTATTATTTGTCAATAATAATAAAAAGGTAAAACTGACTCAAAACCAGACTTTTAAGGGATGAAGTCCAAATCAGCACTATAGAAACAAGTTAGCATTCTTGTTAAAACTACAAAAGATGCCACTAAAACATAATGATTCGTTGTCTTTTATACCAGAATAACCCCCACCCCATTTTTTTCATATATAAATTTCATTTATTATACCATTGATATTTCAAGAAAATAAACTATAGTGTGGAAATATTTGTTTTATAAACCCCTTGCTGGTAATTACAATATTTAACTTTTAAATGCTGTAATTGTTTTCCCTGTCAAACAGTGCATTTATCAGATTTTTATACATAATTCCTATATTAAATTATATTTTTACAATGAAACTAAGCCACAACCAGCTATGTAAAGAAAATCTTACAGAAAAACAAAGCAAATCTTTGTTTTTTTTAACTATTAGAAGACCACAATACTTTTAATACACGTATTTAGACTCTTTTACATAAAAATGTTTTTGTTAATATAAATTAATACTACCGCACAGTAAAATCTAAAATAAAACATTTATAATAATAAACACTTGCATTTTTTTTTTTTATGTTAATGTTGAATTTTAGCAGCTAAATTTAAGAATTGATCAGAAATGTTCCTTTAAATT